GGTAGGTAGGTAGGTAAGTGATGACGGGTAGGAGATTGAGTGAAAGGTGATGGGCGAGAGAACTGATCTCCAAATAACCTGAGCTATTTGTGGAGAAGATAATGATTTGGTTTTCAGAGCCCAAATCAAAGTTGGGCCTCATACCAATCCTAGAGATTATTAGATATGAGTAAAAGCAGCTTATTAAAGATCACTTAGCTGTTTTCTCATACACCCGTACACATTGATCAGTGTGTGTTTGTCTGAGTAATCAGACAAGAAAAGACCCTGCATCATTTCTCCTAAGGAATAGAGGGATACCATTAACTGTACACACATGCATGCTGGCCCCTGCAGAGGGGGCGGGAAGGAGAAACACCCGGATTTTTGAAATTGATTTTTACTGTGAATATCTAGTGCCCTCCTGTGGCTGAAGAGTACATTCTGCCTAAAGAACCTGAGCTTTGCCTTCAGAGCTAAGATTTGTCTCCACTTAGTTAGTTTTAAAGAATTAATTTATTATTCATGCATTAATTAAGATGCACGAATAATAAATAGTAAGGAAAATTTTATGAAGCTGTGGCTATTTCATATTTTATTTAATCAGTTTGGTGCCACATAGATATTTTGGACTCCTAGCATTCTTGACCAATGATGCTGCTGGCTGAGGATGATAGGGATTAGAATGCAAAGCATTTACCAGCCTAGGGAAAGCTGAGTTTGACAAAGTATCAGACTTGCAAGACCATTAAGCATGCTAGCCTTCTGGACTGACTTTGCTGGTTGGCCACTGGAGACACTGTCTTGTAGTGGTTCTTCTCTCACCTTCAGGCTCAATTTCAGAGGCTGACATTGAGTAACTATTCTTTGGCGCCTTGACCAAGCTTATGGGTTCCATTAGGTACCATCCTGTCCCCAACATGAAGCCACAGGGAGCACTCATTAGGGGTTTTAATATGGTGGCTCCTCTTCGGCAGAACACCCTGTTTCTGTAGGTCAGGTAGGCCCTGGTTGTTCTTGGTGTCTGCTGAAGATGCCTTTGTCTGAGAAACCCTCCCTTGCTGACCAGCCACCATTTCAATGTTATCCTGTTTTTAATGTACTTTTCATTGTTTTATCTGATGCATCCTTACTTTAGAATCTGACTCAATCTCAGTTTGATATTGAGATCTGACTCAATATCAGTACACAAATTCTGGAGGAAGGGAGAGAGGAAGGAAGGAAGAGGGTGGGCATGTCTTCACTTAATCTAGGTGGACAAAGGTGCCCCAGTTTTGTTCTTACTCCAAGAGAGATATGACTAAAGACATGAACTTTTAGCACCTTCTTGTGAGGCCATCTCCATCCATCCTTCTCTTCTTAATGTGTGCCCTTTGCTCTACAAGGTTAGAGAGGCTAGGCTAAACCACAGGCTCTGACAGAAAAAAAATCATTATTGTAATGCAATAATCACTGAAGTCCAGCTCTTAGGAAAGAACAGCTGTTTGTGGCATTATGCTAGGTGATGAGGTGCTGGCACTCCAGAACAAAAAGCCTTGTGTCCCCCTTAGAGCAGGCCTGTGCAATGAGTGTTCCAGAAAAGTTTTAAAAATCTGGTAACCCACCAAAGAGCTTGTTGTTTGCAATTACAAAAGCATAGAGACTGTCTGACAGATGATCAGTCTGAAATAGTTGCTGGATCAATCAACTTGTGTTTCTCCAGATGTTTGGCCTGCAACTCCCATGATTACACTGGCTAACCAATTGGGGTTGATGGGACTGGAAGACAAATAACATTTGGAATGCCGCAAGTTGCTCACCTGCACTTGAATTCCTGCCTGCTGTGCTTTGGCAGTTCGCTCGTTTGGCAACTCTGATGATCCAGACAAATTTAGACTGAGTCAAATGGCAAGCCCTTCAGTTACCCAACATGGCTGGCATGCTGCATTTCCTTTTCTGGGATACATGATCTTCTCCTCCCAGTTCAAAGTCCCTTGTATGGCCTGAATTGTGGAGATCTTTCTGGCTACTTTCAAGGGGGTAAACAATATAGGAGGTCCCTCTGGTGAGCTGACGGGTGCCATCTTCCATCCCACCCCACATTCTTCAGTTCGAGGGCATTTCTGCGAAGAATGATGGCCGCTGGGAAAAAGAGGGAGAGGGCTGCCACTGGGAGGGGGGCACTCTTTATTGCAGCTGCCATTTCTTATCCTCTCCCCAGATGTTTTCAGAACAGGACACTGTGTGGCAAAAGATGATGACCAGGAGATTATGAAGAAGTTCTTATGGAGACACTTTGCTGGGTTTCAGTCCTACCTGAAAATGCAAAAGAGAAGGGAGGTTGTTTTGCACTTCTACCACCCCCCCCCCCCCGTTCAGATTATATTTTAATGATCAGAATGTTTAGGTTTTAACTGTTAGATTAAAAATAGAGAGAATGCCAGTAACAAATTGTGTTTTCTATTGAAACCAGCACTAATGTCGACCCTGTTAAATCTATTAGATTTCATTGTTCTTTCCTCGAGAGATTACATATTCTCAAAAGAGAATAAAATTGGCAATTTGATCCAGTTCACACACAGAGGAGGTGAAAATGACATTCGACAGGTTCTAATTGGATGCCATGGAGAGCCCAGATTAGAATTGCTCAGTTAGTTTAAGGGATTGCAATAGAAGAGGTTGACAGTGTTCTCTAGTGGGGTTGTAACTGTACCATTCTGCTTGTTTTGCGGATGGAAATAATGCAGATGCAATCTTAATATGCTGCTTTTCCTTCCTCTCTTGGTGTATTTAAAAAATAGAGGGCCACACAGCCAATAAATTGAATCACATTTTCTGACATTATCATTTATTTGTTTAGTTAGAACACTATGCATGTTTAGAGGGGGAAAAAAGAAGAAGTCCAACAACTCACAGCATGCCCCATCTAGTAGGGCCCTTTTTTGTCTAAATATGCATGAGACTGACCTCTGAAAATATTTCTAGAGACCTTTCAAGGCAAAAACATTCCCAAGGGAGCTCACACAATAATTTCCCATGCAACCAAACACAACAACACCATAATATTAAAACAACCAAAGAAGAATCAACAAGCGATGATTAAGCATCTAGCATAGTTGGTACTAAAATGTTAAGTACAATTGCAGCTAAAAAGCTAGACCAGCTCACTAAAACATAATTGGGAGGAGGCCCAAGAAGACGAGTTAGTCTTCAGAGCAATTCTGAATGTAGTCATGGGGCTTTATGGATTCCTGATGACAACACATGTTGGGCCACTGTGGAAAAGACCCTCTCTTGTATGTAGCCACCTAATGTACCTCAAAGATAGACAAGAAGGGTTTCCGTTGTTGAATTTAAAGTACAGGCAGGATATCAGTGAAAGAAATCTTCTCTGTAATTTTATCCAAAACTATTTAAAGCCTTTAACATCAAAGGCAACACTTTGGGCTCAGAAATACAACCACTGCCAGTGCAGTTGGTGGCATATTACTATTAATAGTATTAATTTATTTTAAACTTCCAAAAACACATTTTTCTACAGTGGATAGAAAAAATCAAAAATAGGCAAAACCATAATAAATTATGTGGTTAATAATAATTTATTAACAGTACAACACTATCCATATCCACTCGGTAATAAGCCCCATTAAATTCAGTGGAACAGATATCTAGGTAAGTGAATACAGGATTGCAGTAAAGCCTATGTTAGAGGAGTGATAATAACATACTCAGCGCAAACAAATAAAAAGAAAAAACAAGAGCGAGCTCCGATAGTAGAGGAATTGATGAAATTGGAACAAATGCTGCAGGAGGACCATCAAAACAAAGTCTTAAGTCTCAGCTGGATATTTTAAGGCATAAGTTAAACCTTTTGGATACAAATGAGCTTACTAAACAGATGAAATTGACCAAACAGAATTTCTTCGAAAATGCTAATAAACCAGGGAGATGGTTAGCACATAAAGTTAAGAAAGAAAAAGAGAAGAGATTGATCGTGAAATTGAAAGACAGAGAAGGACAGCTATATTCGCAGGGTGCACAAATCGAGAAAATAGTGGAAGACTTTTTTACAAAGCTTTATCAGAAGGAGATGTCAATCGAGAAAGTTAAAGAATATATTCAAAAGGATTGCAGCATTAGACACCCAACAATGCAGCTTTAGATCACTTTAGAGTAACCCTTTTATCCCAACTGATATTCCCAAAGAAGGATCATGGAGGGCTGGGAGCGACATTTCCATGCTTCCTGAGGTTTTGAGAGTCATGCTGCAATCCATATCCATGAAAACAACAAAAGGAGCACAAATGGCAGCTTCTCCTGCCCTCTTGCAAAAATTCGTGGAGAAGTCAGAGAAGATGGGCAGACAAGAGGAGAGTGCAGTACTTCTTTTTGTTTATGAGTTCAATGAAAAAATCTGAAAGGAAAACAGATCGAGTTACCGAGTTCCACAACCCCAGTTCTTCTGCTTAGAAATGTGTTTCTGAAAAGTATTCAGGCTTTGAGGTGGGGAAGCTGTGCCTTCTGGGAGATTGAGATTGATAGTAACCAACAACTATTTTGATCATGCTTTAAACAATCTTATTGCCTCAGAAAACACTTTTAGGAAAGCCTTCAAAATTGGAAGCAATTCTTTTGTTTCAAGAATCTTGCCTTTTCAGAACACGTTCTGTGTTCCCATTACTTAGATGTAGGTGTAATTTGACCATAACAAGTCTGACTGGGGGGATTTGGTTCTTAATGCATGACATGGACTGGATTTAGAGATAGCAAAATCCTGTTTGGTGCCAGATGTTAAGTAAAACAACCAAAACCAAAAAAACCAAACCAAACCAAACCAAACCAAAACACCCCTCTAAAGGCCCTTTTGGTTTCACCACTCTCTCTATCATATGTGCCCTTACAAATGCTTCCCTCCCTCCCTCCCTCCTTTTCTTTCTCTTTAACAAAAATAAGTATTTAAAAAGATGTGACTGTGTGTGTCTGAGAGAGAGAATAACATTCTAATAAAACATCCATAATGTACTTTTTCCACACTGTAAAAATAGTTATAATTGAAATTTATTATTCTTGGTGCCATCACATTGGGAATTCACAATGAAATTCCATGCACGTTTGCTCAGAAAGAAACTCCTATGGTATTAAATGGGACTGATCGCCAGGGAATTGTGCTTTAGTCCTGTGCACTGTGCCTTTCTTTTTTTAACACAGGCACTTGCTGCCACAGAATTAGTGTTCCATTTCTTGTATAACTGTAATTTATTTTCATGTTGATAGAGCAGACATTGAGTAGAAAGAAACAGAAGCCTTGTTCTCAGGTTATTCATTTTCCCACTTCCTTGGGGACACCACACTACCGAAGAAACCTTCAGTGAAGCTGCAGAGAATGGCGTTCTGGTGGCCTTTTTAGAGGCATCGTAGTTCATGGGCAGTGACAGACACCCGATTCTTCTTTTCCGTCTTTCACAGTCCTGCTGTCCACCAGGGGGCGCATGGAGAATGTCCAGATGATGGCTGGTTCATTAATGCAGTCTGATTCAGCTAGGTGGGCTCCCTGCTAGCTGGAACAATGGGAATTGTAGTCTTCATCAAAACAACTGTAGTAAATCTGGATGGGGATGCATTGCCATGAGGAATCTGTTGGTGGTGATATTTTTTTGGCAATGGGAATCAATTCTCCAGACATCCTGACAGTATTTTTTTGCACATTCTCTGTGAGGAATTTTGTATAATAACATGTAACTGTTCTTGTGTCCCACTTTCCAAATATGCAACACTTAATTTCATCTTTGCTTTTTGTTTTTGTTTTAATTTATAAGTAGTGACATATGCTAGTTCATGCCTTGTTTGGCTTATGGTTTTCCAAGTACCTTTGTGCCAAACTAACACTTCCACAACCAACACAATGGTTTGGAATTCCATTCCCATCAGTCCCAGCCAGCATGGACAATGATCAGGGATAATGGCAGTTCTAGACCAAAGCACCTGGAGGTCACCAAGTTTGAGACAGCTGCTTTAGATGGTCTTAATACATGAATTTTAAGTCACCTTTGACTTTCTCTAACATTACAAAGTAAAGGAGAGGTATTTGTAATGCAAATGAGAATTACTCTAAATTAGGTTTAGTGTTTTTGGACATAAAGAGGGAAAGAAAAGCATAAAGGGCAGCTTTTAAAGCTTCCTGTTAAAAATAATCCATTCACACACTAAGACTTTTTCTGTATAAACATGAATAGGACTGTGCTTTTAGACTCCGAAGCATAGTCCCAGTAAAAACACTTCCCCAAATTTAGCTCTGTAGCTTTTCCCCCGGTGCATAACACTTACTGTGTTTCTGTCATCATCCTGTGACTTCCTGGTTTACTGATCACCACCATTTGTCTGTGTTTCTCCCCCATGCTTTCTTTCAGGAAAGAGGACACCAAAGGCAAAGGACAAGAAGAAGAAGAAAAAGAACCTGATGGAAAGAGCACAGAAGCAGCACAGCCGTTTCTTGGCCACAGACTGAGCTAGTCAATAGAGACTTTTTTCGTGCGTCAATACATGTGCGATTTCTTTTTTTTGGGGGGGGGGTCGTATTTTTGCAAAATGCACAGAAGCTGCTACCTGCTCCTGCACACGGATGCACTGCGATTCAGCTGCTTTGACAGTATTGGTTGCAAATAACTTGTGGGGGCTGGGAAAAGTCCAGAAGCTTGTTTGTGTGTGTTATTTATACTTTGATGGTTGTTGTTTTTGTTGTTCTTATTCTTGTTGTTGTTCCCCTAACCTGGAGACTCCAGAGGCAGAAGAAGACCACTGAGTTGAATCAGTGGATGTGTGTCAAAAACATTTTTTATTTTAGGTTTTTCTTTTTCTCTATTCCTTTTTTAAATTCAGTGCCTGCAAGATGGAAGTGGCCAATTATTGGGTGTGGAACTTCACAGCAAGAGCTCAAGGCTGCAACCGCCATTATGGGAAAGACTTGTTCCTATTTATATAAGCAAAGGAAATTGGGGAATGAGAACTGCATTTATGGCCTTTGTTTCTCATCTTGTACATTTTCAAGAGTAAATAACACTAAACAGATATTCATAGGTAACGTACTTTGTCCTCTGCACCTGTTATATTGGAACAGTTGTATAGTCAAACTGCTCTTGACTGATATATTACAGGAGTTGCTGGTCAGTAATCCAGGAGTACAGCAGTTCCCATGTGTACATATTATGTTGTCTGCATATAAATAAACCTATTTACAGTACGCACATGTCTGCTTCCTGTTCATGCAGCACATCATTTGTCCTTGCTGTTCTGTCACTTTCATTCTAGGAGGGGGTGCAGTTTTTTCAGGGGTGTTATAAAGTAAGATTTTCTCTGGGCCACATTGGAATGATAGAGAGATTTGAACCTGTTCTCATTTATCCAGTCCAGGCTTCCTTCACATTTGAGAATGCCCAGGACTGAAATGTAGGAGCAGCTACACAAGCACGGGAAATAGGCAGGATATTTTCCTCCAACTCCTCCTCCTCCTCTTTCTTAACATCTTTTTGTTTTTTCTTAAAAGTTAGTGTTGGGTAGAAGTTGGAGAAACCATGAGGTTTATGGGGTGACTTTAAGCCAATCAGTCTAATCTACCTCACAGAGTCGTTGTGAAGATCACTATGGAGAGGAAGAGGGCCATGTGCACCATCTTGGGCTTCTTGGAGGAAAGGTGTATATAAATGCAACAAACAAATGCAGCATGCATGGAAATATGATGTGGATCAGAACAGATGTGCCAAAGGATGAGGGATTTAACTATATTGCTTTATGATTATTCAATCCCATTTGTGTCCCACTTGGCTGCTCTCTGCTATTTGTCCCTTTAAAGCAGAAATAAGAAACCTGTGAGTATCCCAATGGTGTTTGTTTCTAGTTCCAGTCAGCTCCAGCCAGCTTCAGAGAAGATTGACCATTGGAATTGTAGTCCAACACCATCTGAAAGGCAATCTGTTCCCTTGTCCTTAAATAGGAAAAAATGCAGGTAGTTTTGCTGCCACAGAGCAACATGTGTTGGACATGATCTTGATCTGGAAAATAGCATGGGTGTTACTGGTTTAATCCAGTTTGAATCTGCTCCCTAGCTCATCAGCTGTTTTTAAGTAAAAGTAGTGAACTTCGGAGATCTAAATACAGATCTCTTGTGTCAAGGCTTTTCAGGTCTTCCCTGGAATTGTTGCTTTCCAATTTGGGGAAGCTTCCTTCAATGCCTGGCTGCTGGTTGTGATCAGGGGAGAGTAATTCTGTATATGTTCACATCCACATTTAACACAAATTACCCTGACTGTACATGTTCCAGAGCTGAGTCCCATCACTGAAGGGCATTCTGAAGTTTTGCTGGCTCCAATTAAGCTATTGGAAGAAAATAACATGGTTAACTTTAAAAAATAAGAATCAGAACTTCGACATAAACCTATGCAAGCTGTAAAGCCAGAGCTGGTTACCCTTGACATAACCAAACAAAAGTATGAATGGGTCTTAAAGGAGTTCATGATTTCCATCAAGATGAACTTGTAGTGCTTGCCAATCTTAGAGGGAAAACAAAACAAAACATATGATCCACATCTGATCTGTTTGCACTGTATCTTCACATTTATCACCCATTTCTGGATATATCTTACTATGTAAGGTGTTCAATACTATCTGAAAAGGATTTTAGGAACTAGCAGGGGTAAACTGCTCTATGAGTCCCAGCTGGAAGATGCAGGACTTTTCCCCATCTCAACATGCTGACGATTGCACCCTAAAAGACAAACTTCAGAGGAGCATTCTGGGAGGGGATTCCATACCACTATACAGTTTTGGACCTTGCAAACACAGAGCAGAAGCCTGCATGTGGCGATGACATTCCCTATTAGTCATCTCTACATTTCTGAAAAGGCAGCACAAGGCTAATGATATGCTCATCTTATTTTAAAACCATGACTACCCATGTGGGAGAATCAAAGAAGAGAAAATGGATAACTGCAGTTTTCCTTCTATTTAACTCATCAATAACAAGGATCCATTCTAATTTGCCTGAGTAGGTTGTGAGAAGTGCCATGTCATTAAACTTTCAGAACCTTGATTCAAAGATCTTCCATTTGAAAGTGTTAAGTGGCCACAGACTGCATTCTTCTATACATTAAACACTAAAATAGGCATAAAAATACCCTAAGAGAGAAACACCATTAACAAAAGCCTATCACACTGCCTTCTAAAGGCCAATCTTCACAATTGGAGCACTGCATTCTATTTAAATTTAGGAGATAGGGCCCAATGAAAGATAGGTTTAGATCTTGAAAGCTGAAATCAAGGCTCACATTTCCTAACTCTAATTCTGAAACAGTAGCACCTACATTGCTGAAAAATAAATTGAGCTTGATCAGCTGGTCTTTTCCATGTTCTTCCCATTTGTCCACATACATCGCTTTAGAACAAAGCAAGGCACTTCTGGTACCTTGTGCCAAAATCTTGGGGTCAAACTAAACATTCTGCTAGTCACACACACAGCTGTTTGGCTTATTTACTTTTGTGTAGGTAAGACGCCTCGATTTGCATCAGGACCATGGTGATTTGGGAGGAGGAGCTATGCTTTCTTCCCTCCTGTTTTCATGACAAAATTCCACCCCTCCTAAAAAGGATTATGGAATTTTTAAAAGAAAAAAAATCTCTTTAGGTTAAAGACGTTTTATCCTAAGTCAATAAGAAATCTAGAGTTAGTTGCATTTGGGGTCATTTTTGAACCCAGACAAAAGTGTCTCAGGAAAGGAAGGTGCTGCATATGAAAGGCCTTTGTTCGGGCTGAATGCTTCCCCCTAGGAGGTTTTGATTAACACAAAAATGGTTTTCAGCTTAAATTTAAGTCTTAAACTTCCCTGATGCTATGCATGACAGTGCCTGGCCTATTGACCTTTCCTCTGCCCAACAATAATTTGGCGCACAAACTTTAAACCAGCATTTCAAAAAAGAGCTTTCCCTCAATATCATTTAATCCTGTCAGCACAGATGTTTTGCTTTCAAAAGAGCTGTATTCAACCTTCTTTGTTTATGGGACCACAAAAGTACCCCACAGAATTATTGGGAGCCTTGTTAGTTGTTGGCATGTTTTGGTTTAAAGAAAACTATAAAAAGGTAGGACTGCGTTTTTCAGCATGTATGCTTTAATGTACATATTTCAAAAAATCCACATTCTCCTTTCCAATTCATGTACTTGGAATAATCTCTTCAAGTAACCAGAAAGAATAGCAGTTGGGTGCTCACATGGCCCTGTGGACGTGATCTGAAGGCACACGAGCAATTCCCTGATGGGAAAAAGGTGGGATAGAAATATAATAAATAATATGAAACCATTGGACTTTGTTTATTTCTGCTTATTTCAATCCCTTCCAATTTTGAACTTAGCTTGGAGCTCTTGTTTATCTCTTACAGTCAGGGAAGCAAATCATGATCAGAAACTGGAGTATGAAGGCAGTTTGTCTCTTTCACCAGGGATTCACAACCTTTTCATTCACATTTGTAATGGCTGGTGTAGTTACCATGGCTGGTTATACAGTACCATATACGCAATATGCACAAGAAACTGAACACACAAAGGCACAATGGAATATCTATGTCATACCCACAACTCATAGAAACACACATCACAACTTCTATACAAACACAGGCAATAACACATCATTTTAAAGAAACAAAAAAAGAAACTCATGCAGAAAACACACTGCACAAAACGCCCCCATGATAGGTAAATCACCCTGATCTCTCTCTGTTGCTTTCTTCACATCATCTAGTGGTCTCCAGAATCACTGGCCCAAAGCAGATTTCTGTTTGTATCTGGGGGCAGGACAGAGAAATGTCCCAATCCTTTTATAAGGGAAGCATTTTGCATCAAGGTAGGAAAATAACATCCTTGGAATCTCTGGGCTACATTTGGACTAGTGGACTGACATACATTGGATTGAACAGATTAGATAGTTAAGTATTGTGAATAGCTATTAAGGTCAGGGTGTCCAAACTTTTTGGACCATCAGGCAAATTTGGAATTGGGATTCTTTGGGCATTTCTGCAAAATGCCAGGCCAGTGGATTGCAGCTGTCTGTCTATTAATTGTAGGCTGTTTCTTATTCAGCAAAAACATTTGTTTCTTGTTGTTTGGGCACCGCACGATCAGTAGTATGGATTACTCGATTCAGCAATAATGCAGGGCAGCTAATGCTTCTTAAACATATGTTTTGATAAAGTCCAGTAGGTGTTTCTTCTTAGGTGAAGGTTATTGTCCTGGAGCAGTCTCTAATAGGCACTCATGGATACTCTTTAGAATTATTTACCTACTTCAAGGAAATCAATTAAGGGCTAATGCAAATGCATTCTCTGCACCCTTTTGGGAGTGAAAGACTGATGGTACAAAATAGGAAGGGTGGACACTTATCAGCACAGAACAAGAGACCTGCTGAATCAAAGCAAGAGTCCTTCTAGTCCAGAGTTCTGGACCACCAGCTGCACACAGAATCCCAGAATCACGATATGAATGCAACAGCATCCTCCTGCCCAAGTTTCCCAGCAACTGGGTCACATAGGCACTCTACCTCTGATGCTGCTGCATCTCCAGAACTGCAGTGGATTGATGACTTTGCAATGCTTTCAATTTTTGAATGGGTGGCCTATGGAGAGGCCCTGCAGATGGATAGTTCTTTCAATAACTCGTCTGCATTTGTTGAAGTCTACATATAATGGTTAGAAACCTGTAAGCATTTCATATGCAATCATTGCCATGACTATAAACAAATCCTTGTACACATATTTTTCAAAAGATTTTTAAAAGGTTTTGCAGGCAACCATGAACACCACATCAGAAAATCCTGATTTAGTTGACTGTTACCTTTTTAATGTTTATTTTTTATTATGTTACTGTGCAGAATCAACCAAACCACACCATCAAAGAAGAAAAGAATACCTGAAATTAATGCAACCAAAAGTACATTTTTGAATAAAATTTAAAAAGATCCATTCCACTAATTGCATATATATTATATATCCCTATATGTTCATATAAAGCAGAACATGCTATTATTATTAAACATTATTATGTGTAACTTCAACAAAGTCACCCCAAATATCCATATATTTAAACATTTCTAGGTTATACCCAAAGGTCACCTGTTCAAAAAATGAAAGTTTCATTAAATCCTCCACCTATTGTGTTATTGCAGGTGGCCATTTATTCTGCCAATGTTGTAATATTGCTCTTTTAGCTGGGACGCTGGATACCTTTATAACCGTCACTTGGGTCTTGGAATGTTCATAAGGCTTTAATTTATGTATCTTTCTTCTTACACTGACAGATATATTTTCCCTGAATGACTTGTTTGCTCGGGTGAATGAATCCATATGAAAGCATTTGCAAATGGTCCAAAGCTTATGTTTCCTACTTGCTAACCAGAATGTCAAGAAGATTGAAAACTGTCAAGTCAAGAAACCCCTTTCTAGAAATTGCAGAGTATCACATATCCACTGCAAGGCAATGCAAGGCAAGGCAAGGCAAGGCGTGACTTACAACTGAAACACTTTGGGAGTGTAAAGCATCAGGACGTGGCATATGTATTTCAGTGCTACAGAAATGCTCCTTTGTCCTAGAAAGCTGTCACGAATATTTGCAATCTTTCTGACCTTTCTAAAATGCCACCTGGAAGTCTCTTCCCATCCACATGCAGAAAGCAATTTTCTGCAGCATGGCGCCCTACAGAGGCGATAGAGCACAATTCCCTTCAGTTCTAAATGGCGCAATCCTGCTAGCTGAGGGTGATGAGAGTTATGGTCCATCGTATCTGGAGCAAGCTTGAAGCCTGGGACAGGGAGCTTCTAAAGGCTGTACTGTAACTGCTACTGCTTTCCATCCACCTTTTCAGCACATTTCTTTTTTTTCCATTTAGTCTATGGACTTCTCTGTACCAGGTTTAGTACATGCTCATCATCTCCTACAGAACTTTAGACAATGCCAGGACTCTCCATTTTCTAATAATGATGTTTAGTGAGCTCTTCTGAGCAAAGAAAATCTGGAATTTGTGAAAACAAAGAATAGTACTTTTCAATTCTGTATTTGCACTTTTGTGCTATGCAGCATTGCTACCTGGAGTTTAGGAAGTGGAAATGCAAGAAAGGAAATGCTCTACATGTAGTACGTGGATCTCAATTCTGCAATGGAACAGAAAGCAGACACAGTAGATGAACAGCCAATGAACAGCTTTGTGCAGGAAAGTCCTACGGCACATTGTTAGCTCTTCCGCTCTTGCTTGGTTATGCCAGTAGTTTGTATCCAGGTGAGGCAGTGGCTGTACTGAACCGGTGCCTGGCTGAGGTAATGGGCTGGATGAGGG